ACAGCACACCAGAGTAGAAATCTTTGTGCAGATGCTTTTTATTGAGATTTTCGGTAAGCAGTTTATCAACATGGAAAACCAGCCTAGCTGCTCCAAAGTAACCGTCAAAGCTGGTGATCATTAAATGGACTGCACGTGCCTTGCACAGGGCGGGTGGCCGCAGGCGTGGAACAGCATCTCACGTGGGGGAGGACTTGAAACGTGCACTAGTTAGGTGTCTACTGGGGGCGGGCTATAGACTTCCACTGGCACGGTCAACGGGAAGAGAGATCACACGGGAATTACATGGTGGTTTTATAGGTAACGGTATCTAGATTTACAATAAGGCGGTAGAGCAACGCACAACAGGAAGCGAATTTCTTTCTTTCGGGATGTGACACTTGGCCAAGAATACAGTAAATGCGTTACCGTGTTGGTGGCTGCCCAGCGAGGAAGGCAGGCAGAGAGAAACGTCAGCATGTGAGGAGGGACCCCTTCTCCCAGGGACCGGTCATTCCAGCTCATGTCAACCGGTCTGTCCGCTCGAAAATAAGACCCCTTGCAAATACAACCTCTCGCAAAGTTTTAATCCTAGATGAGGGCGTTCGCCTTTATGATCCCGTTTTCCAAACCATTTGGAAGCAGCGAGGGGGCAGGGGAAAGTCACGTTCAAATGAGCAACTCCTCGGAAGTGGTGTTTTCAAACACAGCTAGCTATTTGTAACGAGTGCCGAGGGCCGACCTTTCCTTCGGTGCTTGGTAAGTCAGGTGCAAGAGTCGCATCTCGGGGCGACGGCGAGACGGGTGGCAGGGATTCGGCACAATCGGACCAGGAAATGATGATCTGGGCTGAAGGATGATGGAACAGAAGGGACGTCTCCCTGCCCCGCTCGCTAGGACAAGGCCGTGGCCTTAGAACCGACATCAAAAGGGAATCCCGCCGAACCGTGTTACTGAGACTCGTTTATGATGCAGCCAGTCTAGAAGAAAGCGTGTGGGGTACCTGTCAACGAGCAGGACGGCTTCTGAAGAGGTAGATGAAAGCAGTATTTCATGGCAAGTTTGCTGCCAGATGTTGTCGAGAAAGCGCAGGCGCTACTCAGCCCAGAGCAGCCGATAAGCTTTTGTTGAAAACAGTCCATGGCAGTGGGGACGGCTGTTGGCCCCATGTGGCTGTGCGCGTTATTTCTGCTTTAGCTTATGAGAAACAGAAAGGACTGCCTTTTCTTTAAATAACAAACTAGACAAATAAAAAGGAGCAGAAATAAGGAATGCTTCGATGGAAAACAAACGTAAGGATTCAATAAATAATATAAAATGCTTTTGTGCTAAAATAGAACTCTGTTTATATATATATATATATATTGGTTTATGCAGTTTAGCAATCTTTATGTTACCCAGAAAAAGCCAAATCTATCATAATCATTTAAAACATAGAAAAATACAATTTAACAACAGAACTTAAAAAATGGCCAGTGTTTAGCTTACAAACCACATATAATATATACAGCATGGAATGTTAATCAACTGAGACACAAGAAATTAAATTTCAAGTCCTTTGTAATTACAAGTGCACGGTTAGAAATATTTCTCCATTCCCTACCCTTACATGAAAGACATTTTATAGTAGGACAAAATAAAATATGGGAGCAGAGTTAACAGTATTCAGAGATGATTTTGAGATGGTGGTATAAGAGAGTTTCCTCTAAGAATGCTGAGTTATTGAAACCTTAAAAGGCAGTTTTTATTCCTGTAGGTTTTTGATGAAATGCATATACTGTTAATCCATTTTCTGGTGTGTGTGTGTGTGTGTGTGTGTGTTTAAATAAAGGTAATTTAACATTTGGGGTGCCGCATTTATTGGTCAGTGCTCCCCGGCCACGTCAGTGAGTGTCTGGGCATTGGGCACTTCCAGGGTTGGGGGGGCATCCCTGTCCCTCAGCTGTAAAACAGCAGGTCTATTAGTTTTTGAGAGTGAAAGAAATCCAAAGTCCGTTACGACCTGAGGAAATCGTATTATTTTAGAGTTCAACTTTCATTAATTCGACAGGAAAAAACTTATTTGAATGTAGCCTGGGTAAAAAGAAAAAATTCATATTCGTATGAATTCAAGTAATTAATTCAAATCTCTTGGGGCAACTTTTCGCGGGAGGGAAAATCAGGTTAGATCTTTCGGAAAAAACGTTTTCAAATTCAAACTATTAAAAGCTCACTCTATGGATCGTTATTAAGTAATCTCTAACCCAACGTGGGGCTCGAACTTGCAACCCCGAGATCAAGAGTCACGTGCTCTGCCGACGGAGCCAGCCAGGCACCCAGTATCCAAGCTCCTCCAGGAGTGGGCATGGCTTAAACAGCAAGTCCGGTGCTATTATTCTGGGAGGCTTCCTGTGGCTTCAATGGGTGTGCGACAATGTCTGCAGCTGGCCACATGGCCCTGGGGACAGCCACCCAGACCCTGCGTCTGGCCCTCTGGGGAGCAGCAAGGCATGGCCAAATAGGGTGTTAGCTCTGGGCGCTGTGCAGAGTCACGATGGAAAGCCAATGGCCTATTTATAAGTTCAGAGCCTCCATAACTGAAAATAAGGTGGCCGTGTCTCACCATAATTACTATTCAACTCCTGTTTCAAGGAGGGAAAGAATCAGCCAGCTTTAACTCGGGCGTCTGCATGGTGCTTGGCGTAAAGGTTGTGAGTTTTGACCTGCAAGGTAACGTCTTCCTTCCTTTGCCCCATTCCTACCACTGCCCTTGTCTGGGGGGGCGGCGCCCAATCCACTCACCCCTCCAGCCCACAGCCCCCCCAGCCACCACCTGCCAGACTCCAGTGAAGCCCCGCCTCCTCTCGGGGCACAAACGTGTCAGTCCTTAGGGGTGGAGAGGAGGTCATTCATCAGGCGTCTCTGGATGACCCAGAAACACTTCCCTGAACACGACTGAGAAAAAAACCCACGTGTGATGAAGTCTTACAAGAGAAGTCTTATCTTAACGCCAGCGCATTTGAAAGTATGTTTTCTAGATTTACATCGCGTGAAAGAGGTCCAACTTTGAGAACCTGGTTTTCTTCCTGACATGAAGTCGATTCCGTCGAAAAGGCAAATGCTGTGATTGAATTGGTGCAACTACGAATGCCAAATGAAATTTTTTAAGTCATCAGAGAAAAACCACTCTTCGATCTTTTCTCGTGTAGTTAAAGCTGTCAATTGGTAAAGGCTATTTTTTAATGGCCAGTGAGGGCCTTAAAACGATGGTTTCTGATATCCGTGTGGCGCATTTCAAATCACAATCGAGCTCAGTCTTGCTTCAAACAGATGGTTGCGTGTTGTCGCTGTGGTCTTTCTGGAGCTGGAAGGCTGCTGTCCTCCACGGCTGGCCCTTCTTCCCCACGGATCCTGAAATCGTAATGTCAGTGAACTGGCCAATCATTTCCATTAGCACGGAACCAGCGAATTGCTGTAAGTTTTGCTGAAAACTCCTACTTCCACATGAGACAGAAGGAAAAACCACGACCCCCCAAGGCCATGAAGGAGCGATTGCACCAGTGAGAGTATTTTGGCTTAAAAAAATAACCTTGGACTCACTCAAGTTTTTCATGGATTCCATACATGTTGTATAGCAGCTAGAGGTAAGATCATCTTTGTTTTTAGACTTTGCCCTTTTCATTCCCTTGTTTTATGAAATCAAGACATTGTAACTTTATAAAAATATTACCAACTTTATCTTCCTTGGATAATGAGAAAATGTGTGAATTTTGTCCTTTTGAATGGTCCAAACGTAGGAAGGGTCAAACGTCTAGGAATGATGTGACACTCTTAAAACCTTCGGAAACAGCCAAGTATGCCAAGACTTGTAAACCAGCAGCTTGGGGCGCCTGGGTGGCTCAGTCGGTTGGGCATCTGACTTCGGCTCAGGTCACGATCTCGCGGTTCGTGAGTTCGAGCCCTGCGTTGGGCTCTGTGCTGACAGCTCGGAGCCTAGAGCCTGCTTCCGACTCTCTGTCTCCTTCTCTCTCTGCCCCTCCCCTGCTTGTGCCGTCTCTTTTGTGCGCAAAAATAAACAAACATTAAAAAAAAAACAATAATGAAATAAACCAGTGGCTTTCTTTGGCCACTCAAGGCCATGCAGGCACAAGGCGCTGGCACAGAAGGGTCCCGGAGGTGTCTTCTGTCTGGCAGCGGAGAAACTGGCCCCGTCAGGACGCCTGCGGGCGCAAGTGCAGGTAGGAGACAGGCCAGACAAGACCCCAGCACTGGGAATTAAGGTTGAGGCAAAAGGGCTCTCAGGCGATTTCCCAATTCACGTTTTCCTTCTAAAAGGCAGATGAACCTTCTGTTCTACGCTGGAGCGAAAAAGGTATCTTTCAAACAGCCGCACACTGGCGTGGCTGACGCACTCGGGTCTGAAAGGGGAGACGCTAAGCCCAGCCCCTCGAGGAGTCTGTGCCCGAGGGCCTTGACTGTCGAGCGGGGACTCGGGGCGCAGCAAACTGTACGTGCTGAGCGCATGGGAGCCTGCAACGGGGCTGGTGACAGCAGGGACAGCTGTCATTAACCAGAGTCGGGAAGGCGCTCACCCTTTGCGAGGAACAACTACTTTTCTGTTGCTAGCGGTTTTTTGGGTTTTTGTGTTTTTGTTTTGAAAACAGAACGTGAACGTCAGTCTTCCCTTTTAAACAAGCCAGGGGAAGGCATGTAACTAGGGCACCCCTCCCCCTCTACTGGCAAGAGCGGAGTAGAACGGATACGCTCATGTAGACCCCAACTGGTAGCTGAGATGGGTAAGGAACCTCCAGATTTCTTTTCCAAAGCAACTCCTATGAAATGAAACACGTTCTGTAATTATCTTCCAAACTCTCCAAACAGAATTGCATTAGAAAGTACTGACTTTCCCAACGAGCACAGGACCCAGAGATTTGGACCCACTGAAAATATCGAGGGCAGGATGCAGACAGCTGTGATCGGTTGTTGGTATTGTTAGTAAACTTAGAAACATACGACGAGACTGCACTAGGAAGACAGAAATGTGGACTTTAAAAAAATTATTGTTACTATTTTTAGTCTGATGAGAGAGAGGACTGCACTGGGAAAATCACCGCTTCTTACAGCCCAGCATTTATTTGGGGCGTGAAAAGGGCGCAGGGCGTGTGGCGGGAGAGCAAGACAGGGGTGGGGGGAGATGACAAGATGCCTCCGGGATCAGGGGAAGGGCCTTTCCGCTCCCCTGCTGTGTCAGGCGCGGGGCGACCCACGGGGGGGGGGGGGGGGCAAGTACTACTCACTAACGACAGGCCAAGGTCGACAGGAAAGTCAACAGATGCGGTTAGCCCATCTGGACACATTCATTCTTCAGTATCCTTTAGTCAATGAAATTCACTGTAAGTTACGCTACGACGTGAAACGGAGCGATTCTTCCCTTCCTGTACACACCCATTATGGAGACGTGTCCTGAGGGCAGGCAGAAGGAACCAGAACGAGTGGGTCCTGGAACCGCTTACTGTCGGAACCCTAGACAGACTCGCCCCCCAGCAGCCGTGTGCACCCAGACATGTGAAAGTGCTATGTGTTTATTTGAAGATGTCTGAGAAACCGCTGTCGCCCCGGAAGCCAAAACCCCACGGCCTCGCCTTCACAGCCCGCCAGGCCTTCCCACGATCCGCTGTGGAACGCCCTCAGTGACGAGCGACGGCCACGTCCTCTGAGGGCACACTCCCTCTGTTCCCTGTCGGAGGCAGGCTGGTACCCGTGGTTCCGCACACACGGTGGGGGCCCAAGTGCAGCCTTCTCGGCAAGTATCTTCGGCTTTCAGCCCCGGGGAACGAGAGGTGGGTGTGCCCACGTCCTGCCCTTCGGCCGCGTGGACCAGGCACCGGGGAAACTGGCACGTGGAACGAGGCAGTGCCCGGGCCATCCGTGCCCGATGCGGCAGAGGGCTGCGCTCCGTCCTGGCAAGCGCAAGATGTGTCTGACGGTCAGACGTACAGATCGAAGGGATGGGCAGGAATCATTCCAAGTTCTAAGTTCATAGATACCCAAACCGGGACGCGACGAAGGAAAAGAACTTTCGCTTGTTTCTTCAGTAGTTTCGAGCGTGGACAGATGTGATGCAGAGGGAGGCACTCGGGGGGAGGGGGGTGTGTAGGGGGGGGTTGGCCGGCCCCATGCCGACAGCGGTCAGCGCTCTTACTGGGAGCACTTCAGCGTCCTGGGTCCTCCCGGCCATGGAGGGGCCCTAGGGACACGGGGACCGAACCTCCGACCCCCGGCCTTCTCCAAAAGGCTCCATCTCAAGGGCTGAAAACCCTCGGCACGGGCTTCCTTGCGGCCCTGTCTCCCCAGGACCCTCCTGCCCTGGGTGTCAGAGGCCATTGCTGTTCCTGTGACAGAGGGGAGGCTTGGACAGCTCAACCACGCTGGAGCGGGACTTGTTGAGGAACTTGGGGGCGCGTCTCAACAGCCGCTGGGCCTCCATAAACGTCTCGGTCAGCTCCTTCTTCCACTGCACAAACTCGGGGTCGCTCTGCACGGAGACACAAAGGGAGAAGTTGCCACGGGCTGGCCTGTCCTGCCGACAGCCGGGGTGCCTCTGGCAACGACAGCGACGTGCTGCTTTCCGGCCCGCGGCGGCCTGCATCACTGCGGGCCACATGGGCGGCCTCCTCCGGGGCCTCCCGCGGGAAGCAGGGCCAGGCCGGCGAAGCCCCTCGGGCGCCCCTCCCGATCCCCACCCCGAAGCACCGCCGGTGATCTGCTCAGACGTGACCTCCGATTTCTGATTTCTAAACTCAGGTCTGTAAAATAACACCTGAGGGGGAGCTCTGACAGATTAACCAGCACCTTCACGCGGGCCCTGTGGCGGTGAAGTTACTCAACACACGGCCTGGGCATCTACTGCCGGTTTCTCTCTCTAAACATGCTCTCGCGCGCACACCGCCCCCCGCACCCACCCGCGCACACCCCACCGCCCTCCACACCCGAGACACCCCCCCCCACGCCTACACACATACCGTACACCCCCACCCCCCACCCGCACCTACGCGTGCACACACACGCGCGCACACACACACCAGCACCTCAGAGGAATTAAATTCGGGCCACGGTAGAACTCTGGAGCGAGAAAGATGGCATTCCCCCTTAGAGGAGTCACTTTGGTATCTTGCGTTTGATTAAACATCCAAGCCTCAGCCTCAAACATGCTGAAAGATGAGAACCTGGAGACCAGGGGCGCCTGGGTGGCTCAGTGAGTTGAGTGTCTGACTTGAGCTCCGGTCAGGAACTCATGGTTTGTGAGTTCGAGCCCCACACGGGGCTCTGCACTGACAAGGCTGAGCCTGCTTGGGATTCTCTCTCTCTCTCTCTCTCTCTCTCTCTCTTTTTCTCTCCCTCTCTTTCTCCTTCTCTCTCTGCCTCTCCCCTGCTCATCCTCTCTCTTTCAAAATAAATAAATAAACTTAAAAAAAAAAAAAGAACTGGGAGACTCGATAACAAATAGACCCCTAGTAAACAGTGGACAGTTTCCAGATAGGGCAATCCAATGACTCCACGGTCTTCCCCTCCTGCCATTTTCTGACTTTCACATCTTTGACGGTAACTGTTAGTTTGCTGAGCTCCTGGTACCCCGGGGCTTTCCTGCTAAGTAAGTGATAAAGCATGGATTTAAGCAGAGGTTTCATACCCAGGCAGCCATCTTTGCTGGACATATGTATAGCTGCCCAAACTTGCACCTAAGGGACACGTTTTAAAAAAAAAAAAAAAAAAAAGCTCACCTCACATTGCAAGACAAATTGCTTCCCTCCTTTTATCCTCAACAAAATGCATTTCTTGTCTTTAATCTGAGTTTCTTCCACAGACAGAATCTGTTCCATCGTCAGTAAATTTTGCTAGCCATAAAAAAAAAAAAAATGACAAATTACTTCACACTATTTCCCAACTTCTTCCATTCAATTGATAAATAATACGGAAAACTATCAGCTCAGAAGAAAAAGTAAAAAAAAAAAAAAAAAAATCAGTCTTTTTCTTTCTTTGAGGATATTCTAGAAGCGAGGGGGAATGGCTACAAAGAAACACGCACAAAATTTAAACTACGGCATCTCGCAGGAAACGGCAAAGAAAGGAACGTCTCGATAACTCTCACACAGAATTGATTTCTGAGTGGCCGTGACTCACACGTACCCTCGCTGTGTCGCACACCCACCTGAATTCTACCGACCAGGCTGTCAGCAGACAATGAAGCACCGTGTAACTTACGTGAGCAAATGGGGCGAGGCTGTTTTTGACACGGCAGCCCAGGGAAGGTCTAGCAATGTTGGCTTGTAAGCTAATGATTTTTTGCAAATATCAAAATGATGTAATAAATCCAGGTGACATCCTTAAAAGATGGTCACGCCGGGTGTATAAGAGGATGGCCTAAGGTGACTGCTATTGTGTCATGAGTACCTGACCGTTTTATGTTTTTTTGGATAAATACTCCAGGAATCCTAAATGAAAAGCACCATCGTGGAGGCTCACGTTTCATATTAACCTGATTTATACCTACGAACCCATCCATCCACATACACCTAGAAACAGCACGCTACACATTGACTCTCTTGAAAGCAAGCTAACTTAATGAATCCTGTGTGTTTAAAAAAAGGAAGATTTTTTTTCTTAAAGTTTTCAAATATCCTGAAAAGTGAGACAATTTCCTTTCAGTGTGCGCCACAGAGACTGCCCGGTAGACAGCAGAATTCAGTTGACCCTGGGACAACACGGGTTTGAACCGTGTGGGTCCACTTCCGCGCGGATATGGTTTCTTTTTTTTTTTTTTCCCAGGAAATACAGGACAGGTCTGTAAATGCATTTTCTCTCATGATTTTCTTAATAACGTTTTGTTTCTTCTCGCTGTCTCTATTTTAAGAATACAGCATGTAAGACACATAACAGGCAAATTTTGTGTTAATCAGCTGTTTATGTTATCGGTAAGCCTTCTGGTCAACAGCAGGCTATTAGTAGTTAGGTCTTTGGGGGGAGTCAAAAGTTATACGTGGGTTGTTGACTGTAGGATGGGCCAACAGCCCTGACCCCTACCCCCATCGTTTAAGGGCTAACTGTAACTATGTCATATGCCCAGGGCCACTCATTATCTGGAAAGATTATGTAGTACTAATATACATGAATTATAGCTTGGGTGCTGAATTTATAGATTTGTGAAATACATATACTATATGTAACACATATCTATAGTATAATATTATATAACATAATACATATTATGTAATACCAGCACCTGAGTTATAATTCAGGACCCCCAGAGACTTAGTACTTCATGGCCCAGATGTATTAGCTTTGGAAGACAGCCCCCTGGCACTGGTAATGGTGAGAAGGTCTTGTGCATTTGAATGGGATGTGATGTTCGACAGCAATCACTCATAATTCAGCAGCCACTTTACCCACAGGGATTTAAAAAAGTCCAACAAACAAGATTAGAGGTCACTCTTTTCTGTACTTCTCACCACTGGACAACTGATGGGCAGTTTTCGGACACATACAACACATCGACTATACGTGGGACCCCCGTCCTGTTTCCTTGGCCCCAGAAGCCGAGCCACTCCCTCCCCGAGAGCAGAAGTGTGTGTCCCTTACGCCTGGGCTGCCAGCTCCGGACAAGCCCTCCGCTCGTCACACAGTAGGCGCTTAATAAATGCTGCCTGCCTTGCTTAAAGGGACAGTGGGGATCAGAAAGTTCTTTCTACCTTGTTCACAAACATGAGCCCTCCAAACGACCCGAGGGTATCTTCCTGCTTACGGAATGGAAGTCACTTAGAATTTTCCAACAAAACGGACAGCGGAGGAAGTGTGGCTGGGCGACCTCACCTCTGCGCCCAGCATCCCGGCTCGCTGCATTTGGGCCTGACGAGGGAGGCCCCGTGAAGGGGAGACTGGGTACAGGCAGACCCACAACTGTTGGGCTGTGTCATGGGCGCTGGACCTTCTTCTCTGAGCTCTGGATTTAAGTGCCTCCGTCTGACTCCAAGGTCCGAGATTTCTTCCCCCCCCCCTCTTTTTTGACCTACCTGACTGCTCTCTAGCCCTTCTTCAAACCTGGCTGTTTTGACCTCTCACGTTCTATTTTCAGATGTTACAAAATCCTTCCTTGACTCGAAGGTTAAAAGCTAACGTCTGAACACCAAAATCTCACGCGGGCAGGTTAAAACAGTGACGCGGAGCTTCGCGGCGCATTCCCTGCGACACGAGAGCCATGTGGCCCTCGGGACGCTGGGAGCACGTGCTGGTGACGGCACTTCAGACTCACCCGGGACTCTCCCTCTCCTCTCCATTCAAGTCTGTTTGGAAAGAGGTAAAAATAGCGACGCTGCCACTGAGTCAGGAACGGGTTCCCCAGTTTTAGCATGTAGCCGTGCATGATGCAGTCTTTTCCCAGAGCGTAATCTGAGGAATATAAAATAGCCACGAATTAAATGGGCTCCGAAACAGATCGTCCGTGTTATTCTCAGAAGCAACAACAACAGAAGAATGACACACTCTTTGGAAAAGTCAAGTTTCTATGAGTGGAAACATGTCCCGTAAGCCATTATCTCGGGATCGCAAGGACGGGTCTCTTTGGCTCTCTGCTGACGTCGTAAGTGGCTGTTCCTCAATATTCGGATTCGTCTGTGATGTTCCCTGACTGCTCAGAGAGGACAGAGGTTTGTTCCCAAACTATTCTTTCGTTATGCGTGACAGCAAGAATGGGAGAGTAGAGAGGAGTTCGATTCGAGCGCTGCCCCAAGTACCTCTGCCTTTACGTGGGCCTGGGGTTCTCCCTTCAATCCTGTGAATAATAATAAGGAACTTACCAAGCAGCCGAGGTAACACGAGGATCAAAACTGCTTACTCCTTAAGGTTGTATTTATGCCCCAGGTACCTGGTTATGTAGACAGACCAACTCACACTCATGCTGAGTCCTGATCGCACTGTTAGAATGAAATACTGTCTCTTGCTCTTTGTTTAAAGGTTCATTTTAAGTGGCTGGCTTTGACTCTTTAAAGGCTTTCGTGACTGGGCTAAAGTTCACCCTCTCTTTTTCCTATTCCTTCCACAGCTACGAAGGGAATGCCTGTTCTGGGCACGCTGGGTGCCACAGGAGACAGAACTCCTGGCCCCAGGGAGCTAAGGTCCTCACAGGAGACCCCGAGGATGAACAGGTAAGTAATACCCACGTAGCGCCGCACGCAGGAGGGAAAAGAACCAAGGAGGGAGGGGACGAGGGGATCGGGTGGGCTCCCTGGAGTTGTCATTTTAATGGAAAACTGTTTGCACTGCGAAAGTGTATCGATGGTGGAAGCCTCACGGGTCGACTTCAGAGACCTAAGCCTAGACTGTACTGCTCTGTACGGTGACTCTGGAGATCTTCAACCAAGATCCAGCGATGCCCACGTCAATCACTTGTATATGAGGGTAAATTCGCTAATCTGCTAGAGGCTCTGATTGCAGCTCTCGCTACAACGAGACACTTGGGCAAGGTTATTTAGGTCCGCTTTGTCTGGGTCCACTCTGTCAAGATCCTAGTGACATCATGGCCTTCCCGGGAGCAAATCACCATGGATGTGACCTGCCGTGTAAAATTTGCTACAGCAGGGGCGCCTGGGTGGCTCAGTCGGTTAAGCGTCCGACTTCGGCTAAGGTCAGGATCTCACGGCTGGTGGGTTCGAGCCCCGCATCGGGCTCTGTGCTGACAGCTCGGAGCCTGGAACCTGTTTCGGATTCTGTATCTCCCTCTCTCTCTCTGCCCCTTCCCCACTCACACTCTGTCTCTCCGTCTCTTAAAATCTATATAAACGTTAAAAAAAATTTTTTTTTTAATTTGCTACAGCAAAGAGTCCAGAGTGATGTCAATGGACGCACGTGCTAAGGAGCAGCTTAGAGATGAAGCCTGCCTCCCTGGAGGACGAAGGGGAGCACAGTTACGGGGCTCTACTGCTCCCGTGGCGTGTACTCAGGTGGCTTTTACGTAAGGAGGGATTCATCCAGGCTCGGGCATGCTTTTCTGAGCAGGTGGTGGATGTTACTGGCAAACTGTCAACGGGACGAATGAGCCTGGATCAAGATGCCCCCCTTCAAGCAACTGAGAACAGAATGAAATTGGTTCCGGTCGTTCCTGTCATATAACGTCAGCCTCAGAGACAGTCTTTGCCCGGAGCTAAAGCGAAATGATGTCATCCCCATCAACCACAACAGATTCAGACATCCAAAATTCATAAAGTCCGCGGAAAAGCAAGAGCGCCCACGTTCGCTGAATTAAGAACGGCTGATTGGTTTGATACTTGGTGTCGTGCATGCAACTCTGGGTATCCCCCATCGGGCACTCAAATATTGTAAATAAAAAGGCGCTTTGGTGGGGCGCCGGGGTGGCTCAGTTAAGCGTCCGACTTCGCCTCAGGTCATGATCTCACAGTTCGTGGGTTCGAGCCCCGCGTCGGGCTCTGTGCCGACAGCTCAGAGCCTGGAGCCCGCTTCGGAGTCTGTGTCTCCCTCTCTCTCTCTGCCCTTCCCCTGTTCATGCTCTGTCTCTGTCTCAAAAATAAAAAATAAACAGTAAAAAAAAAATTTTTTTTTAAAAAGGCGGTTTGGTAACTTTACTGCTGTTTGTAAAATAACTATAATTATATCCACTGATACCTCTTGACAAGTGATATGTGTGCCAAGTTCCCCACCCGAACCCACATACTTTGAGAAATGGAAACGTAGGCCCTTTGCTCAAAAATTATTAAGGACGCCAAGACGGTGGCCGCAGAGTGTTCAGCCCAGTGGGGTGCCCTCTGAGGTGGCCCAGGTCACACTCCCATGAAGCCGGGCCTGCTCCTGACACCGGACGAGTTTTCAAGGAAGACACTTGTCAGCTTGCCCTCAAGGCTCCAAGATCAGAGGACTCACTGACACAATGATGCTGACCGTCTTTATTTATACGTTGACTAAAGGCTTTGAAATATTATACTGCACTTTTCCAAGCCACATAGAACTATTTATGGC